GTGCGACCCCTCCTCCGCCTTCCCCCCAGGAGGAGCCCAGCGCAGCCCAAGAGAGCCCGCAGGGAACAAGCACCCACCCATGGACCTTTCTGCATAACGATACTGCTCCTGCCCCAGCAACAGCTACAGACATGAACCGCCATCAGCTCTGAAAGCCGGCACTGCCTGGAGCCTGTAGTCAGCTTCAGACAGGGCAGTTACTAAGAAAACTTAACTGAAGAAAAGAAAATAAAATCTACTGAAAGCAGAAATAGTTCTGTTTCAGCCAAACCAGGACAGTCTCCCACATAGCCTTTGTAGTCAATGGAGAGAAATCGGTATATTGAGGGCTGTATTTGTGTAACTTACATTAGACATTTGCTTTCAGGTGACTTAAATCATGTTTTTATAAGGGCTATTTCTTTCCATGAACGGTTGCTCAAGTTTAGATGACTACTTCATTTATAGACAGCTACACTGTACGTGCATATATTTTAAGGCACGATGAGTCCCACCTTAATTTTACTTTTTTCATGGCTGAATATCAGTAATTCATGGCAGACTTGCTTTGTCCTATGTGTGTGTCCCAAATTAACTTAGCCCTTCTCCATTAAGAACTAATGAAATTACACAAAATATGTACTCATTTGACTAAATAAATGGTGATGTTACATCTGTGTTTCATTGGGTACACGTTCTCAACAAATGATCACAGAGACGAGCTATCACAAACATTCACGTAAATGACTGCATGTGACAAAGAATGTGTGCAGCTGTTGACATTTTGGGGGAGGAATTTCCAGGCACAGAACATTCCTATGCATAATGTGAACTATGAATTGCAAATATTGAGCACACAGGAACTAAAAAAGGTAGTTTATGTATAAACTACAGTTGAAAAACGTTTACCCAAATCATGCACTGAAGAATTCTGAGGTAACAGATTAATAAATATGAGGGTTTGGGGTTTTTTTTTCTCAGTTTACTGGTAAACAACAGATGAGGTCGATACAAGCTGTTAATATCCTTAACTATACAGAAACAAAACTATGTCACTCCCCTCTTTACCCCACTCCCAAGCTTTTAAATTTTGATGGAGTTGCTCAGAGCTAGTGACAAATTCTGAATCATAGGCTCCAGCATATGTGATAAACCTACTGTTGTATACAACATAGACAAACAACATTTTTTTCCTACGGAATTCTGAATGTGCCAGTTCCTTGGTAATGAAGAATTAGAGCTTGAGGATCTTGGGGCTTTTTGCAAAAAAAAAATGTAGTTGTGGTTATTCTTGTTGAAAATGAGAACATTTTATACTGTCAATTCTGTTTTTGTAGAAAATGAATTACTGAAGTATTAGAGTCAGTTTTCATTGGGGGAGAGGGCAAAATGATGGAAACTTGTTAAAAGGGCAAGAAGACAGTGGGTTTTGGACGGCTGCTGTAAAAAAATGAGGAAATATTGCAACAGATTGATTTGTTTGTTCAGGACAGTCAGTAGTTGAAACAAGAGCCACCCAGCCACATCCATAAAATATTAGAGCATTCCTTCAGCGTCATCTGTTTTTCTGAATATCTGTCATAGCTTTGCTCTATCTGAAATAACAGCTTGGTCTCTTTAAGAGCCCCAATCACACTTGCTGATGGCCCAAATCCTTTGGACCTTTGTAAAGTGTCCTTAATAAGCAGCATATGCTATGGCTGGAGTTACTGGATGGCACACTCAAAAGAATCAGGAATCAGGTTTTTACAAAAAATGAAAAAACTTGCTAAAAGTTGGGACCCTCCAACATATCTAAAAGTCTTGTTACAATAATGACAGCTCAGTAGTAAAATATTCCTGCTTCCCTCAAGAACCTGGTAGGCCTCTGAATCAATTTGCAGCCCCCTGGGAAATCCTTCAAAGATTATAATAGCTAAAAACACCCTTTAAAAGATAAAGTAATAACATTATGAAAACAGTACCGTTCTTTATGCCTAGAATCAATGTTTTACCTTTTATTTTACCAATAAAACTGGAGACATTGTGGAAACCAAAAGGCAAGTTTAAGTCTCTGAAGAGGAGAGAGATGGACCCTAATCCATGCTTAGCTGGAGACTGATAAAACACCGCCTGCCTAAATGGTTGCCTTCTGTATGGTTGACTCACTTCTGCCTCAGATGTATAGCTACAACTGTTTTTAATAAAGTAGTTGTCAACCTCACTTACATGCTCGCAGTACAATAGCATGGTTCTATCGCATGGATTATATAAAGGCACTGAATAAAGCAAACAAATGCTTTACCCACGCAATTACAGCCTAAAAAAGAAATCTCAAATGTTTAAACACTCTGTGCAGTATGACAACTGTTAGTTCAGTGCTTTATGAATAGAGGGGGGCCCTTTGTATAAAAGATTTCCCTGTACAAACATCTATCTGAATAATGCAAATGAGGGACTTTTGGGGGAGGTCTTGTCTTGGTACTAAATTGATTCTTTGCCTCCTCGTTTGCCTCTTCTCACAGGTACTGCAACGAGCATTTGTTGTGCCCCCCTCATGTGTTTTGGACAGGCTGGGGTCCATGGGAGCGCTGCACCGCTCAGTGCGGAGGAGGGATCCAGGCACGGCGTAGGACGTGTGAAAATGGTCCTGACTGTCCTGGCTGCAGTGTGGTAAGTGATTTTCAGCTTTTCCTTTAGCAAATGTCTATGGCCACATGCCATGGATGTCTCTGTGTCCATAGGGCATCTGTGTATGTATACTCTACTGCGAACAAGAGTCACCAGAATGTGCTTGTCTCTGTGTTGCCTGTGTATGCTGAAATTCACACAGTTGATCAGTCAGAAATAATTCAGCTTTTTCACAATACCATCTAGAATATGAGCTTCCTGAGGCAAAGTTGGTGCAGATGTGGATGTATCCTTGGCAGGTTTATGGTGTTTTTTATTTTTATCACCAGAGTACACAGGAACTCTAGCTATGAGCCCAGGACTCCAATGTATCAGGTCCTGTACAGCACAGAAAAAAAAAAAAAGTTTAAAATCTAAACACATAAGAAGCCAATAAGTGAATACATGGAACCACCATGAAGTGCTGAAGTAAGCTTGAATAGCGGCAGAAATCTTAGCACAGCAGCAGCCTAGCAGCTGTCAGGCTTTGAAGCTACAGTGGAATGATTTTTAATGAATTGAAGTGCTTTATGAATACCCAGTTCATGACAAGAAACATATGGGACATATGAAACAAATATAGGTGGTAGGTTTGATGTGATGGGAACATCAAAATGGGACATTGCTTTCTTGAAGGTGAATAGATGATGCGTAGTAGTACATGGGTGAAGGACAGAAATGTAGCAGAGACATGTAGAAAGCAGGGTGACACATCCACTGCAGTATGCTGGGAAGATAACCTTGGTATGAGTATTCCTGGATGGATAATGATATCAAAACCAGAGGAAAGAATGAGGACGACAATGAGAAGCTGAAGCAAAGTCTTAGCAAGTGTAGGTGAGTATGAGATGAACCTTGGGGTGCTGTTTCATGATAATTTGAATTCTAGTGGTGGATTGTCACTGAAGGGGGTATTATGTAGAAAGCATAACCTGGGTGAAAATTTGAAGTGACCAAATCTGCAGAAGACAGGTTCTGCTGGTGAATGACAGATGGTGCTGTTAATTTCCTCAGTGACCAAGAATGAGCACACCTCAAAGGAAAAATGAGAGTTTGGTTTTAGCCATGTTGTACTCAGTGGCCAGGCCTAATGTAGCATGCTGAGAAACCTGTACTTGGTTTTCTTCCACAATATTGAAGAGGTAGAAGAAAAAAAATTTTTTCACATATTAAACAAATTGGTACATGCCTTCATTTCAGAGAGTAAGCTTAATTCTGAGGTTTGTCATCATCTGTGGTCTATTTGTTAGACCGGCAGTAATTCAATACTAAAGAAAGGATCATTTATTTCCTTTTTCTAGTTTTAAGGTTTTGTGCATTTTCCCAGGATTTGTTCTCTTTTTAACATTTATCCTGGTGATAGAATTGCATTTTTAGTAGATTGAAAACATCCAACAGGTTTGTTCTTGTCTTTCAGTTAACTTTAAGAATTAACCTAATAACTTAGAATTATACCAAGTTTTCCAAAATATTTTTCTCCCTCTGATGGTACACAAAAAAACAGACATATGGTTTAGATCTATTGTTAAGTCTTCCTGACTAGCATTAAAAGAGCACAATCTGAAAGTTTTCTGTCTGTCATCCCTGCCTATCCCATACTAGTGTTTGTGAAAGAAAGCAGTATTTTGTTTTGCACAGAATTTGCTCTAAATTTCTCAGGAAGCTCCATGGGGAAAGTAGGAAAACCTTTAGTGTAAAAATGTCTTAATTATAACTGATTGGAGATTAATGTTACCGGGTTTTGTAATATATTACCAGTCTCAGCGTGTTGTCTCTGCTGTGTCACAAAACAGTTACCAGTTCAGCTATGGAAATGGTTTTCATTTTTTTTATTAATTAGAAAATTATTGCATTGATGGTTTCAAAAAAGCACTTAGCTTTTACATAGTTGTCTTGCTAATACTTAGGCACCAATGGAAACCAGCCTAAAGTAGAAATCCTCTCTAAACCTTGATGTTCTTGCAAGACAAAGGACTCGGGTATAAAGTCTGTGCTCTGTTTAAATCTCAGTGAATTTGAACCTGGAAGTTAGCTGTCTTGAGTCAAAAGTTTTGCAGCCGTAGTAGGACCTTGCCAATAAGTGTACCTGGAGAAGAAAATACCTTATTTCTTCTAAGAGTTTGTTTCATTAGTGTTGGAAAGAGCAATCTGAAATATTTTTATGCCTTCTTGTAATTGTTGAATGAATGCAATATTTATATTAATGAAATCCTAATGAATGAGGAGCAGGAATATCAAAACTTACTTATTCATCAGAAATTCTTCTGTTTTGACCAAATTTTTGTTTTTATTGTTGTAGGTATGTGTCCTTCAAAAAATGTAGAATTATGGATTTTTACCATAGTGAATAAAGGAGGAATTATAGTGCCTTATTACTACTAATTTCCCATCTTTACTGGTTGTAGTGAAACTAAACTTAGGTGGTGAAAGATGCTTATAATTTTATTTTTTTTTAAACCTTTTATTCTGAGTATCTCAGAGCACTTGGAAAGCTAAATAATCTCAGGAAAAGTTACAATGAAAGTGGTAGTAATCTACCCTCTCTACGGGATATCTGGTGTGGAGTAGAAGATGTAGCAGATTATCTTGAGTGCCATCACACGATATGTACAGAACAACTAGGTGATCAGGCCCAGTCAGCACGGATTTATGAAAGGCAGGTCGTACTTGACTAACCTGATGTTCTGTGACAAGGTGACCTACTTAATGGATGAGGGAAAGGCTGTGGATGTTGTCTAGCTAGTAGACAACTAGACTTTAATAAAGCCTTTAACACCATTTCCCACAGCATTCTCCTGGAGAAACTGGCAGCTCATGGCTTGGACTGGTGTACTGTTCACTGGATGAAAAACTGGCTGGATGGCTAAGCCCAAAGAGTGGTGGTGAATGGAGTTAAATCCAGTTGGTGACGGGTCACAAGTAGTGTTCTCCAGGGCTCAGTATTGGGGCAAGTTCTGTTTAATATTTTTATTAATGATCTGGATGAGGGCATCGAGTGCATCCTCAGTCAGTTTGCAGCGTTGGACGGGAGTGTTGATCTGCTTGAGGGTAGGAAGGCTCTACAGAGGGATTTGAACAGGCTGGATCGATGGGCTGAGGCCAATTGTATGAGGTTCAACAAGGCTTCGTGCCAGGTCCTGCACTTGAGTGACAACAACCCCATGCAACACTACAGGCTTGGGGGCAAGTGTATGGAAAGCTGCTCGGCGGAAAAAGACCTG